CCTGTAGTATTTTGTGGTTGAAAAAGCAGTTAAGAAAAATAAAGGGCTGGCATTAGCCACCAAACGATTATTCACCCTTGGATTAACATTATACATGAACCTCCAAGTACTACAGGTATTAAAGTGCTCACAAATCTGGATGTTCTTACAGTGACTGCCTTGAGGTGATCAACCAGTGTTTTTTGAAATTCATGTGAATGTAAATCTTCATCTGGGACCAGAGTTATCCAAAAGCATGCCTATATGAGTACAGCTAAGTTTTAAACAATAGTATGGGGAAAATTGTAGGAAAAAATATTCTACGGATAAAGGAGAATATTTGTAGCTCAGGGTTGACATGAGGTGGTCATTTGTGCTCTTTTAACTTGATTGTTTTCTTGCAGATGTTTCATTACCCAAACTAGATAACATAATCAGTGCTAGTGTGCTATCATTACCTGTAATAATGAAACATCTGCAAAAAAAAAAAATAAACCAACCATGCACAGAGAGCACCAAGGACCCCTCAAAAAATATTCTGCTGAAAATAAACTGTTCTGCGTTAGTGCTGACTCACATTATCAATCAGCGTAACTGAGCACCTTGCAGACAAATTCTGCAAATTGTTTCCAAATTGTTACGATTGAAGTAAACAAATGAATGTGATGTTAGCAATTTTGTGAGACCAATCTTGTTGCTCAGAAAATAAAAGCAAACTGTGTGTGTGGGGGGGGATGCATAAATAAACAAAATAAAAAACATTTCCAGAACTTTTTTTGTCCCTTCAGAATGTGATGGCAAAGAACAGAAAAATGGTAGCCTTAAAAACCGTTGGCTTTTGAATTTCAGCCAACTCTTTCATGAATAAATCTTTTTTTTTATTATTTAGGAGGTTTTATTTAGCTACTTGGCATGTACAGTAAAACAAACCTCTTTAACATTACTTACAGCATTTTGGATAGCTGGCCATCTCCTACAGGTAGCATAAAACTAAATTTATTCCATTGGGAGGATGTGAGACTAGAGGTCTTTTGAGATCTGTTTCAATTCTAGGACTCTATAAGGCAGATATTTGTCTTCTTTCATTGCATGTAGGCAGTATATTATGTAGAACTCTATAACACACATTTCTGTGAGTTACTTTTCATTAGCAAAAAAGAGGTGAATCCCACCCTCCTGGCAGATTTTAATAAAAAACTAAAGATCTATTGGTATAGCAAACATTCTTTTTAATGTGGGGTCCTTGGTGCACTGATGACATTACCTAGTTTGGTAATGAAATGTCTGCAAGAAAACAACCAAGCTCAGAGAGCACCAAGGACCCCACAGTTCAACCCTGAGTTAAAATTATTTTATTCCGTTCTTTTCAATCTTTGCGGTTTTATGACTTTATATGATCATTGGTTTGCATTTTGTGTGTGTGTTTTGTAACATTTATTACTTTCTTATTTTATTTGTCCTGGTTTAATTGATGTTGTTTGTCGTACTTCATTGTTGCACCGTAAACTGGCCTGAATACCTGAGAGATAGTTTATTTTTAATTATTTATGCCTGCCCAGTACATTTTGGCAAAGTGGGTTCCCTTCCCACCTCTTCTAATAAATACTGTCATCTTATGGGATCAAGGAGGTATGCCTTCTATGTTGCGGTCCCTGCCCTCTGGAACAGCATCCCTCCATCGATGTGGACAACACCCTCTGCCCTAGGGAAAAGCACTTAAGACCTGGCTCTGGTGTCAGGCCTGAGGTTGATGTGTTTGTGGGGCCCTTCATTTGGTTTGGTTTGGTATATTTTGATTGTTTTAGGCCCAGGTGCCTATGGGGTTTAACTGTTTTATTGTTTTATATTTGTAAGTAGTCTAGTCTATAACAATGAGTGGCTGTAATGAAGCTCATCGTCACATGCATCACCATCATCATTTGCCACTGGCAGGCCTGCCAGGAGTGTGTGGATATAAATTTTAAAATAAATAGTTGTATATATTTTATAGACACATCAGATATGTACACATTACGTCTGCTCATACAAGAGATATCATTATGTTATTACTTGTCACTGAAGTAATCTCTTTTTTTTGGTGTGGGGGGGAGTTTAAAGCTGTTTTCATCACATCACTAAAGCAACCCTATCGGATGATTGGCTCATGACCCATGCTCCTTAAAACCAAAACATATACTTAAGAATAATTTGAAATAAATATATTGGAGATCATTAGGTTCAATAATAGAAGCTACTATTTTAAAGAGCTAGCTTTGCAGGTATGTGGACTAAAAGATCATTTCAGTTTACCCAGATTTAAGTGTCATTTTATCCTATTTTTGAATATGCCTATAAAATTTCATAATATTTGTATTTAAGCAAAATATGAACGCATTGTCTAAAGCCTATCACTTAAACACAAATGGTTTAAATAATTGTTTCATGTCTATGGGGTTAAAAAAATCTTACTGTATTCGTAATCTTGAGATATATAAGGAAGCAAAATAGAGCATCATGTATCTGTAAGCTTAATCAGGATTTGACTGATGACATTAATAAGCTTGCTCACGTTAAGGTTATAAAGTGTTCTTTAATTTGAAGCATACTTTATTTTGTAGCACTTTTTAAGTTGCAGAATCCATTTGGTAATCCTGCTTCTTGAAATAAAATAACTCGCTGAGGTGAGACTAGTTCAATTAGTACAATCTTCTGGGTCCATTAAAAAACCAAGTCAAGAGTATGCACAGGTGCAAAGTACAATCTGATGATTGCAATCAGACTGTAGAAACAGGACACATGACTCCACCACCATTTAAATTCAAATGTCGCTTTCTCCAATTCAGACAAACCTGGTTGGCAACCCTTTTGGTAACCTATTTAGAAAGCTTCCTCTTAAACACATAGCTTTCAATTTGGAGTTTGTATATAGGTATGGGAAAATTATTTAAAAAGTAAGATGATTATTTTATAATAATGTTTTATTTCAGGGGGTAGGATAAATAGCAATAATCACAGAGTTTCCAATACGCCAGTGGCAGCAGGTGCTATTGTATAATAATGTAATAAGCCTTTCTTATTATTCCTTTTGAGTACTGTAAAACTTGGAAAGCAAAATCTGGGTGATTGCAACCATGGTGGAAAGTAGAAAAAAATCAGAACTGCAGGAACAAGAGTACTTTAAAGGCTGTGATTCTGCAAAACCAATGCAAAACCATTTTCTAAAGAGAAAAGATTCTAGGAATAATGGGCATTTGAAGCAAATGAAATCTGGCATATTTTCCTCTTACTTGGGACACAAAGATAATTAAGATAATACTATTACTGGCCCAGCTTCTGTGGGTGGAAGTAATTAAGCTTTCATAGATCTACATTAGACAAATGGAAGAATACCATTATAGGCATATTCTTAATAGCATCAAAAAATAATCCAAGAAAATATATCCACTCATTTGTTTCTTATTCCATGGGATAAACCCATCAAAACCTATCTGTGTATAATATGTTTGTTTGATGCATGATTGGGTGTATTATAAAATCAATAATCTTTGAAAAAGTTGATGATCTGTGGGACAACTTGTTTTATGATAAAAGGAATTTCCCTAGACCTTTTTCCCAACTTGGCACCCCTCCTAAAGTATTGCAATTACAATGTCAGATATCTGTCGAGCAAAGACAGCGGTCATTCTATTTAGGTATTCTGGATTTTATAATTCTATCACACTTAGAGTAAACCAGTTCAGAGAAGGGTTTCTGGAGATGGTATATAACAGCTATGGTTCAGCAGCCAGCAAACCTGAGGAAAAGCAAAACAAATTTCAGTGCTGGAAACTTGATTGCCTCTAAGATGCCAGATAATGTTGGTTCCAGCATGATTAAGAGCTGAAATCTCAAGGGTATTTTTTCAAATTTATTTTAAACTTCCATAAAAATATAATAACTTTCATAAGGAAGACTTGGAGATATGTTCTGGGAAAGAAGATGAACAAAATGTAAACTGAGTTCTACTGGTTGATCCCTGGCTGATTTGCAGTTTACCAGTAGGAATCTTTTTCTTCTAAATTAAGCTGCAGAAATTAACAACGCTTGGGGTAACCATGAGGGGATTTTTGTAGAACTGAAAGTTCAGTCTGGTTACCAAAAATAAATTCTTAGGCTCAGAATGTGCTGAAAGACACCCTGTTCTTTAACTGTGTGTATGTCTTTACAACTGACTCTGGTGGGTGGATCTTAGGGCTTTTGGTAAAAAATAAAGTAGATTCAAAAAGGCTGTTCTCCTTAGTTCTAAATGGCTTGTAAGTCACTTACCTGGCATTGAACATGACGTTAGTACACACCTAACATTACACTTCTTCCTACAACCGGAACTGATAGAGAATAACTGAGAACAACTGGCAAATTATCTTTTGGGAAGAATTTTACTTGCCTCTATATGATTTTCCCAAGATAAATATTGTTTGACTGAAGGTCAATAAATAAAATTTGGCAACTTCTGTATAAGACAAGTTTAATAGACTTCTCTGGAGAATGATAGAATCCTTCCAATGAAAGGGACAGCACATTTTTGCATGATACCAAAAGGCCATTTATTTGTTTCAAAGCAGCCATTATAGTCCAGAAAATTTGGTTGACTGATTGATTTCAGCATTATTATATCAGTTTCACTGGAGCTCAAGGTGGTTTTATCTTAAATCTGGTAGCTCTTACATTTTCAAACTGGCAACCCAAAGGAAGACAGTTCAAGACTCACACAGTGAAATCTTGTTTCTAGTAGCCCGAAATAAACCCAGTTACATTTAAGCTTCATTCCCAGGAAAACCCATCTATGAGTTGTGTGGTTACGCGGACATCTAGAAGTTATTGATCTGGTTTTTAAGAATCACCTGGCTGTTAAACCAAGCTTACCCCTTGCCAAACGAGATGTGTAATGATTGAGTTGGGATCTCCCATGTGGCAAACTGATGCTGGCAGAAGAAGACACAAGAGACCAGAATGGGACAGAGGTCACACCACTGATGGGGGAAATATTAATCACTTCATCCTACCCTGAAGGCTCCCTGATTGAGTCTGCTGTGTACCTGCTCTGCTCCTCCAGGCTTCGGTTCTCAGCTGTTCGCCATTCTGGCATGGTGCTGGCACACAACACCACCATGGAGACGATGACGAATAGGATGGAAACGGTGGCCAGGATCTGGGCGGCCACCGACGAGGTGGGCTCCTCGAAAGTTCTCCTCATCCTTTCCAGCCATTTCTTCTCTCCGGCGCCAGGCGGGGCCACACCATCCCCGCTCTCCTGGCCCTGGGGAGGCTGGGGCTGGCCGCTGCTTTTGCTACTGCCGCTCCCGCCTCCGGAGGGCTCCGTCCGGATGTCTTCTGCCGAGTAGAAGGTATAAGTATCGGACATGCGGTCGTCCAGCCGGCGCTGGCAGCAATAGTCCAGGTGGGATCCCTCCAGGCCCCAGTAGATCATCTCGTTGTAGAAGGAGAGTTCACACATGTGGGGCACGAAGCGCAGGTGGCCGTAGCGCACGTAGAGCAGGATAAAGCCGAAGGCTTCGGAGTGCCGGTCGAAGAAGTATTCGTTCCGCTCGCGGTCGTAGTCGTCGCACACTTCGAGCACGTCTTGCTCCGACAGGCAGCCGTGCAGGCGGCTCACCCGCTGGAGGGGAAAGTCCTTCAGCACCTCCCGGGCGAAAGAGTAGCGGGTGCCCCCCACGTTCAGCACCACCACCGGCGGGCCACCCCGGCCAAAGGTCATGGCGTGTGGGGGGGGGACAGAAGCAGAAGGGGGGCGCGGGCGGGAAACGGCGGGTCCGGCTGCCTTCAGCGCCCGGGGAACGGGGCCAGGAAGGGCGGGGTCCGGCTGCCCCGCCCGGCTTCTCCTCAGGCAGGCGGACGCTCTCTGGGTTCTCTCGGTCTCTTCACCTCCCCTCCCTCCCGCCCCCCTTCGCCGTCCACGAGTGGGGAACGGCGGCTCTGCTGTCCCGGTAAAGCGACGAGCGCGCGGCGGTGCGCCTCCTCGAACAACCCCGGAGTCTTGGCGACGCCTCTGGCTTTAGCGAGGGGTGGCGGCGGGCGCCTAGCTGCGCCCGGAGCACGCGGCTACCGGAGTGCCCGGGATAGCGGGTATAGAGAAGCTCCCGCCGCCGCCGCCGCCGCCGCCTCCTCCGAGCAAAACCCGGCCGGCCGTGGAGAGCATGGCTTAAGAAGCTGAGATAAACTCCTGCGAAGTTGGGTCGGTTCTGGGCTCCTCCGCTGCGCGCAACCCGGCTTTGCGCCGCACGCGACCAGCTCTGACAGCGCCGCTCTCGGGCTGAGGCGCCCAGCGGCTTTCGGAGCGGAGACGGAGGTGGTGGGGAAGAGACACGCCTCTTCCCTCGCTCCCTCCCTCCCTCCAGCCCTTCCTCCCTTTCCAAGCGTCGAAACGAGCGGAGTTGCCTCTCTCCGACTCTGCTGGAAGGAGGATAGAAGCACCTGAAATATTTCCCTTTGCTTTTCACTCTTGATCAGTCAAGCGCCTGGCTGAAGGTCAGATTTTTTTTAACCGACCAGCAGAGATTTCTGGTCTTGCTCCACAGAGTTTTCCTTCTTTTCTTCCCTCCTCAACATTCTCTGGTCTCCCATTTGGGAATGTTTCATTCGCCTTGACTAAAAAGTTGTGATTTCTTTCCCAGACCAGCATGTTATGAAAGAATTGACAGGTACACCTCCACCTTTTATATACATATATATATATTTGTTATTATTTTGGTTTGGCGGCTCTCACACATTTATATCAATTGAACTGATTATAAAGCACTTTTAATCTTTCTGGACTTCTGGAGGAAAAAAATGGGAGGAAGAGAATAATAAATAGTTCTTATTTTCTTGTAGTGCAGAGTTGGACAAAAAAGCCCTTAGCAAATGTAGGCATTACATTCATCTAACACATGCTTTAAAAACTAGTGAAGCAGAAATATTTGATCACTACCTACTTGTTTATTTAAAGTTTCTTGGAATCAGATGGCTTATGTACTATGTGTGTTTCTGTATAACCACTACTGATACACATCCTTTGAAGCTTATTATTATAAGATTGCCCCCATACACACATATACATTTTAACATGCACCTGACAACATCATGAAGAGAAGCATATAAAGTCCCCCTAAGTTATAGTAACTTAGCTGTCTCTTTAAGTACTTTCTACCCTTGAAACATTTTTTCTGTATTTCGGTTCTTAGGTTTTCTTGATTTCTGATCTTGCTACTTTTCATCATTTTGCCCTTTAATAGAAAGGAAACTATATTTGTATTCCCCTTTAGCTAATTGAAACCATAGTCAATATTTACTATAACCCATCTCATACAGTCTTTGTGGAAATGAAAAGAGGAGGGGCTACGATTAGAGATGGAACACAATAGTTTGTATGGAGGTGGTCCAATGTTCAGTTTCTTCCAAGAAAAGTTGAAAATGTTCCCAGTTATGAAAACTTGGAGAGCTGCCAGTCAGGGTTACAAGAACTGAATTAAGAAAACCAAAAGTCTGACTGAGCATCAGGCAGCTCCTTATATTCAGTGAATTTAAGGAATGACATGATATCTGTCATTGATAATTGGCAAGTAAATAGCTTCGCCATGCAGTCAAATAGTTTTTCCACTTGAGGCATGTGACAAGGGTCATTTTTATATTTAGTTTATTCGCAACAAGTCAGAGCAGAATCCACATGTCTTTGCACTTTAGCATAAAATCCATTAGCCATTTCCATTTACAATTGGACTGATGCCCATTTATCTTCTGAAATATACAGTTGTGTTTAGCTGGTATGTCTATAATTGACACAAATGTATTTGGAACAAATTTAAATAATAAAATCTTTATATGCATAATTAATCCAAATACACTCAAAATATTGTAAGTATTCAAGAAATCTTTGAGTCTATTTTGTATTGGTTGTGTTTATATTGTGATCCAACATCTGAGAAACTGCTCAAATACAAATGCAGACAAGATTAGAAAGAAAAATGAAATATATCATTACTTTTTCTTTTATTTTTAACTATGATTTCAAGAATGATAGATCTGGAAAAAATGTATGCTAATGGAATTAAATCAGATCAGGTTTAAAGAGCTTTCTACCAAATGACTAGAAGCAATGACCAAGGCATTAGAGTATCATTTATTCAATTTGTGATGAAGACAGCATCTAATATTTTACAAATTACTAATAATTACTGTTTTGTATATACATCCAGGTTGGACAAAGAAGTTTACTCGGTTTTTAAACTGCCTTTAATGCCTATTAAAGGATGCTGTTTATTAGATCATTTTACAGCATTGCGTTTTGGTCAAATGTTATTCTCTACGGCTGATCTGATGACGTTGAGGGCTGAAGACAGTTGGGTCCCCCTCCTGCCTTAGTAGGAAACTTGACATAATCTATTACTGCTCCCTAAAGAGGGGTCTCTCCTACAGTTTGAAAGCATGCAAATGCAAGTAGATAAATACGTAGGTGCCATTTCACTGGGAAGATTACTGGGTTCTCTGCTCCTTTGGCTCAGCTAGGAAACAGAAATGAGCATAGCCCCCTAGATATGGACATGACTTTCTCTCCTGTCTTAGTCTACTAAGGCAAAATCTTTTAACTGAATCCCTTCAAAATATACCTTGTCCTGTCCCTGCTCTCAAAATAGCCCAGGCAGCATGCAGGGTCAAACAGTGTACACAGTGTGAGATCAAACCATATCCCTCTGGAAGAAATGCTTTGAGTAGTCAAAATTTCATGCTTTGTTGTATTATGTCCGCTAGAGGTCATAGCTAAAGTCATTTCATCTGTTCCTTTAAGCGCACATTGATTTTCTGAGGAGATGGGAAAGACCTGCCCCTAGGTTCTCAATTAATTTTATTCCTTCAAATCTCCCCATTCCTTTTCCAGAAAACCTCCCTTTGCTCAATGTATTTGGGTCTAGAGAATTTCTTTTTTAATAAAATGACTTTTCAAGTAATGTTTCAGTGAATTGTGTGCTGATATTTTACCATGTATCTAGTTTCTTTATTGCTAACATAAAACGGAACTCAGCAACAAATGTTGTGCCCTTATATTCTGCCTGTGTTTAGTGAGCAAAATGTCAATTATCAAATAGACAACATTTGATAGTTTTCCTCCCAGTTTTTTGGGGGGTGTTTATTAATTTATTCATCAATACCTTTTTGGAAATGGATGTTCAGTAAAGACTCTCCTATGTTTTTCTAGCCTAATATTCATTTCATCTTTTTTCAAAAATTCTGTATTCTGAGAAATACCCTGTTTATCCACTAGCACTTTATTTTATACACACACCTAGTACTTAATTTGGGGGTTTTATCCTTAAAGGGCAGCAGTTGTTCTAGCATGTCAGTCAGCCTGAATTCTTTCTTATGCTTTCCTTGGCAGGAAGTTTCTTCATTTTTATCAGTTGCTGCTAAGATGCAAGGTGTTTGTAATCCTTGTTTAGGCATTCTGATACTTTTCTTGTTCTAGTTACGTCATTTATAGTGCATTCATTACTTTGATGAGCTCTGTATGAGGGTTTGATATTTGATTTATAAGTTGCATCGGATCTGTTATTTTTCCAGCTCTTTTCATTAGAGATCTAATTACTCATCTTTTTTGTTGTTGTTAAGGTAATTGTCTGTCTTCTTTTTTATACTTAGTGGTTTAAATGTGCATTATTATCTTGCTCTGCCAAACCTTCCAGGGATGATAACCCATCAGCCATGGTAACAAAGATCTGTATGTAAGGAGCAGAACCAGTATGAATACATTGCTATTCATGCCAGACCACAGATTTTGGTGTTCATTTTCACATGCCCAAATTCTGAATGTCATTTCATCAAAACAGTTTTAATTCAGGCAAATGCCCTAGGCAGGTATGAAGTAGAGTCAGCAGCAGAAAAAGTCCTCTTGCCTTTATTATTGCATAAAGATCTTGCAATTTACTTTATGTGGATATAAAAATGAAATCCTGGTACAAAAATGGGCTATTGAATCAGCATCAGTATAAAATAAAAGAGGATGTGAAACCTGGAAAATCTTAGCTTGGAGGCTAGTTTCTCCCTCCTAGCATACTTCTCTTGGCTGGTTGCCTATTTCTAAAGAAGCATCAGCCTCAGTCCACTATGCTTGTAAGTCTTTTGAATAAAGTTAATCACTACAACTCAAGAAGCATGGGAAATTTTGAAAAGTGAGATAATAAAAGACCAGTCTAGCACAATACCAATGAAGAAGAAAAATAACAGCTCTCAAAAGAAACCCGCATGGCTGCATAAAGAACTCTCTGATAAATTGAAAGACAAAAAGGACAAGTATAACAAGTAAAAAGAGGGCACATAACTAAGGCAGAATATCAGCAAATAGCCCGAGCCTGCAAAGATGAAGTGAAGAAAGCTAAGGCTCAAAATGAACTAAGGCTTGCGACAAAAGTCAAAAATAACAAAAACAGCTTCTTTCAGCATGTAAAAAACAAGAAAAAAGTCAAGGAAATGATTGGTCCATTAGTGGGTGAAAGTGGCAAGAAGGTGACAAGCAACAGGGAGAAAGCAGAACTATTTAACTCGTTTTTTGCATCCGTCTTCACACAAAGGGAAAACACAGCCCAACCCATGTAACACCGCTGCTGCGCGAGCTGCACTGGTTACCGGTGGCCTTCCGGGTGCGCTTCAAGGTGTTGGTTATCATCTTTAAAGCGCTCCATGGCATCGGACCTGGATATCTCCGAGACCGCCTTCTGCCGCAGGTTG